CGTTTCATGGCGTGGATTACACTTACTGCCAAAATGGCGGCCGGCCAATGCGTGTTCATAAAAAATCACAGACGCAATTTTGGCTGGGTGATTCATCAGGTAATAGTGAACTTAAGCAAGTGACTTTTTTGACAACACGAACGGCATGAGTAACGTCAGAAGACTGGGTCAAGGGCTGTGATTGGTGAAAAATGTCAATTTTACTTCCGGTCGACGTCCGTGTTGTCAAAAACGTCACTTGCTTAAGCTCACTATTATCTATCATCTGTGACCATGCCATGATTTGCAATTGCAAAGCACTCGCCATGTTCCTAGATAGTGCACCAAGGAAAAGCCATCACCTGCTGAAACCATTCAAAATGGCCAGCCGAAACCAATTCGGCATATCAAGCATCTTGAGGCGCCAAGTGCCTCTTGTAAGCATGAACTCATTTGACTGGCAATGGGCCATCCATTTAATATGTGCACCCCCCCCCCCCCTATTGAGGGTTGTGGATATCCAGGGGGTCCAAAGAACAAAAATCCATTAGGAGAAAGAAATTTTTCAAGATATATCCATGGGTAAATATAAAAAAATCCAAATAAAAATCCAAATGGAAAAAATTTAAACAAAATAAATCCATGGTAGTAAAAATATGAAATGTTAAAAAATCCATGGCAGTAAACAATTATTGGTACAGTAATAGTTAAAAATAAAATCCATGGTGCCAAATTGTAGTATTAATGTTGTTATTTGTTTTTTTGGACTAAGTACTGAAATTTGGTATGAAAAATTGAGATAAAGTACCTGGAAAGCAATTTTTTTTTTTTACCTAAAAAGTTGTCCATGGGATGTATTAATTCTATTTCAAAGAACATATGCAAAATATCCATTGAACAAAATCCAAAAATCCAGGGGGAGAAATTATGTTATCCTCAATAGGTTAACAAAGGTTTAGAAAATCCACGGGAAATGTTAAAATCCACATACCCTATTACTAAAGCAATATCCAGGGGGTATTTTTTGAAAACCCTCAATAAGGGGGGGGGGTGGCCCAATCTGGCATGATTCCTCATAGTTCGTTGCGGAAAATGTCAATAAACTTGGCATAATGGTATTCTGTCTCGTAACTTTCTTAATAATACCATATCATTCACCCTAACTCCCACAACGAACACCTGTGAGTTCAAACCGTGTAAGCACACTGGCTAGGAATATGGTGAGTGCTTTGTGATTGTAATTTGTAAAAACCCAAATGTCAAAAATCCTTACTTTAGCTTCGTCTATCTTGGCACTACTCTCTTTCACCATGGTCGAAAATCTATCTTCCCAGCTCATGTTCGTATTACAGTTCAAATAAATGTGCAGATATCAATAAATAGAATATGTATGTTGGATTTTAGACAACTTTTGTAAAATTAATATCTCAACTTTCGAAAGTGCAGTAGTTTTTTTAATAAATTAAAATTAAAAATTGTTTTCAATTTTAGCGCCTGTGTTCCCAAGATCGCCGCTGACACCACAGGCGGCTCAAGCTGCGCGCACGTCAGGATAATGCACTAGTCAATCGAAAGCCCGGCCCCCCGACCCCCGGGACTATGCGGGGATTTTAACATTTCACGGTTGTTAAAACCCCGGCTAAAAAATCTTGTTCAATTGTTAAAATCCCCGGGTTACCGGGCCTAAACATTTGGGTGTTTTTTTTTCCAAATTTCCGCAGTTTGATCAATCTCATTCCGCGAGCCTGCGATCCTCGGGAAGGAACGCGAGGCTCTGGGATAATCCGTTTCAGGGAGGAATCTGATTGGCCGTTGAAATGGAATGCGTAGTTCAATCTTAGCCACAATTCCTGGCTTCCGGCAACGGATTATCCCAGAGCCTTCGTTTCCTTCCCGAAGATCGCAGGCTCGGGGAACGAGATTGCAGTTTGATAAAAAACCTAACATTAATATTTCCATTAAACCAAAAAACATCGTTTCCTTACCTTTTTCTCTAGCCTCCCCCGCAGGCCTCTCTATGGGTTCTAGCCTGCGAATGGGTTTGAAAAAAAAATTTTCTGGGAGAGAGGCCTGCCATAAATCGAACAAAATGGACGTGTCAATGTACCTTGTGGCCGTGTCAATGTACCCCACCCCCTAAGTAGGCTTTTGACCCTAATTATATATTCAGTTTGAAATCTTCGGGCGAGGAGCGAAACTTGCGAGTATTAACTCAAAAATGTTTTAAAATGCATCGAAATATTCAAGTTATACGAAAATTAGTTGGTCAATTGAAAGGATTATATATCGCAATGTCTCTCGCGGTCTAAAAACGACGTGCAAATTTAATTGAATCGCTCGCTCGAAGCATCCAAATGTTTACAATGTATCAATTGTTCAGCCTAGGAACTACAATTTGAGGAAATTATCTGGCATAATTTCGAACGCAAAACGAAGAATGGAACGATACGAAAGGTATAATTTGTTTAATAAAGGAATTATATTAAATTGTATTGTTTTCTGGAATATTATTTTGGCATGTTTATTTACATGAAGGGGTTGACATTTTGATTATATTTTACTAATTTTAGTCAAATCATCAGACATTTGGCAACATGTTAAGTGAATTGATATATATTAAAAAAGGAAAAGATCTTTCTGTTGAAGCAACCATTTCAATAAGTGAGGAGAGATAACAACTTGGAAATATCAACTACAGAAATTTGATTACTACAAAAGCCTACAAAAATCAAGATTTTGTTGGCATCTTAAGCCTGGTTTACATATGCCTGCATTATCATTGTTTACAGCTGTTGATGCATACATTCTTTTGTGAATTATTTAGTTGAACCTTTAACGACAATAGCCCATCAACAAACAGCAGGTATATGTGAACCAGGCTTCACTTGGTTAAATAGTTAATTGGAACTCACCCCCTTAATTAATATCATGTGAATATGCTAAACCCATTAAGTTGCATTGTAACACATGTAACAACCTCTTTCTAATATAGTATATGCCTAGTTGTGTTACACGTACTCAGGCGCGGATCCAGCCTAAACCCTGACCGTGGCGCACTCCAAAACCGTCAATAATTAGGGGGGTCCGGGGGCATTCCCCCCCGGAAAATTTTTGAAATTTGAACCCCGGAAATGCCATTTCCTGAGTTCTGAGCATCGAATTCTATCATACAATTCGTCATTAATTACGCCATATTTTAGAGAGCAAATAACGAAACGCACTAAATAAGTCAAATATTTAAACAACATATCATGTTCTTCAACGTTACAACATTAGAATGTTACAAAATCACTGTACTTACATAAAACCACAACTCTGTACCGCATGTACTGTTCCTGTGTATTTCAGGTTCTTCGTAGCAAAAAATATCCAATTAGGGCTGTACATCCAACTCAATCATCTTGGCGTTTCTGTTGAAACGCAGGTCTTTTACGGGGTGGGTTTTTTCAGCTGCACATGCATCGATACCAAGTGTCTTATTCTGGATCATTCGCTTAAACTGTGTAGCACGGAAAGTTGCCGTTGCGTGAACATTGGATTTTTCACCATGCTGACATAGTTTCTGGACAGCAGAAGCACTTGGAGGAAGAGCACTGGTCATCAATAGTTGGAGCTCGCTTGCATTATGCGTGCTTTCACTGCCAAAAAGAACACAAGTGACGCAAAAACCACCGTTTGCCACAGCAGAGTAAGCCAACCATGGAAATCGTGATAACCATGCCAACCGGAAACGTCTACCAATATTTTCGCGTGGAGGAAAAGAAAAATCAGAACCAGGTTTCCAATGGCAATGATTGCACAGAATTTCGTACTTTTTCGAATCAGGAAGACTGGACACCAGATTTACGTAGTTGTAGATATCATCTGGCCACGAATTGGTGGAAGTTCGTTGTGTTTTGGTGTTAGATTTTTCTGAAATAGGACCAGTGTTGGGAGTTACAGATGAAATTCCTTTACTAGTGCTGGGAAATTTGATTTCACTGTCTACAGTTTCTTGTGTGTTGCACGCTCGTTTCACAAGAAGCGCACCGATCTAAGCTAATTTGTTTTCTTTTTGGACCAGTCGTCTGCTTTTTAGTAAATGTAGTCACTTGTGTAGAGGAAGGAGCAAAAAAACTTTAGGAGAAACTTTAGGAGAAACTGTAGAAGGAACTTTAGGATGAACTGGCATCGCAGACTTCAATAAGGTTGGAAGGTGTGCTTTAAAATAATGGTCTCGTGGCTGAAGTGCTTTAACTGGTTTGCACAAGGTAACAAAATGATTTTTGGTAGATAGAATTCTTCCATCAACCAAATAAGACGGTGGCATCGCAGCACAATGAAAGATATGGACATATTCAATTGCACTGCCATCAAGATAATCCCGTAGATATACTGTATTGTACAATTGAATCCAAGGAATCCCAATTTTCTTTCGCTACAGTATCATTGGTGAGTGGGTAGAATGACTGAATGGCACACTGAATTACTGTGGGCAAGGCAAACATGCACACCATGGATGAGAATGTGTAATTTTTGCAGTTTCCTTTGCTCTTCTAAAACTGCTGCATTTCATTACAATTCTCGAAAAAAAGTAAGAGCTGCATCAGATACACACATGGCAGAGGCATTTTTAAGTGTAGTGAACGCTATTACGTTTTTATGCTGGGACTCAATGAAGGAGTGATTAGTATAGTATTTGGCATTCTCAAACAGTTCAATACTGGTGAGGCATCTCAAGTGAGCAGACAAACTCTCATTCCCGATTAACGCAATAGAACATGCATTAAAGAGACAATGAAGTACTGGAAGAATTTAAGTATCAATGGTTATTTTATATTATTTTGTAAATATTCTATTGAAACTTTTAACCAGAATGTCAACTTCTTTGCACCACACAGTAATTATGTGATTATACTTTGCAAACTTCGCTCAAATTATCTGGAGAACAAATGTTATACCTTGCCATTTGAGAAATAGCAAGGAACCATTTGTTTTCCCAAATGTTTTCCCTCCATTTGCTTGTATAATCATGGGTCGCGTTCCATATAACTTTGTGCCGAAAGGATAATTACTAGAATTAGTCAGGGTAACCAATAGAACTAGAGTTGGTTTTAAGGTAAGGACTGGAGATTAAATTTTGGAATCATTAATATGGAAATTGAGCCATAATCATAATTCTTTTAACAATGAGGCCCCCTACAATGTCTTTGTGTAATTTGAGTAACATCATGATGACATCAAATTCACAGCTGGCCTTGACTAACTCATGGGATTTTGTTGCAGTTTTAGATTCAGGATTAGGTTTTAATGTCAGGATTAGGATCAGGATGACATCATCCACAACAACATCAATATTCATGCACAACAAACACCTGTGAGGTAGTCACCCTTCAGGGGTCAGTTGTTAAAAATATTTGCTTTGTTGGTGTAATGTACTCTGGTGAATAAAATGCTTGTGTGATGTTATTAGAAAATTATGTTAGGGTTAGTAGTCCAAGTGAGAATATATACATTTTAAGACCTAACCAGGAACGACTGCGCAAAATGAAGCACAAGGTCCTCTGGTAGGAAATGAACCTACGTCCCTGCGATTCCTACCAGAGAACCTTAACATTCTAACCCTAACATTCTAACCCTAACATTCTAATATTAATTCCACCAAGTGAAGTGCAAGAATCCATATTGTGTGATGTTACTCTGACTGTATATCCACACCGGACAGGCTTGAAAAACATGCCTGGCCACGGTGGGATTCAAACCTATGACCTTTGGCAAAGGCATTGGCAGACCATTGGGCTAGTATTCCAAAGGTTGTAGGTTCGAATCCCACTGTGGCCAGGCATATTTTTCAAGCCTGCCTGGTGTGGATATACACTCAGAGTAACATCACACAAGCATCTTATTCACCTGAGTACATTACACCAACAGTCCAACACAGCAAATATCATGATTATTAGATTACACTGATATCGAAGGAACTAGACTCAGTTCCAAAGTATTGCATACTCAAACCGACCTGACCGCATAGCTCAGTTGGCAAAGCATTGGGCTAGTATTCCAAAGGTCGTAGGTTCCAATCCCACCATGGCCAGGCATATTTTTCAACCCTGCCCGGTGTGGATATACACTCAGAGTAATATCACACAAGCAATTTAGAAATATTTCTTCAGAAATCTTGTCTGGATGAATGAAAGTTTTCTTCAGAGCTTCGAAGTAAACAGGCATGCAGAAACACACAAACAAAAACACTAGGTTAAATTTTAACCAAGGATTAGCCTTAGCTTAGAACAACCGACCCCTGGTCAGCCTACAAATATTAAGGCGCTATATTTAAAGCTTGGTGAAACCAAATAGACGACTATATAGACCCAATACAGAAGTAAACATTTCATTTTACAGTCGACAATCAAATGTTGTAGCCGTAAACAGTAGCAAAATACTGATAACAGTTTTAAA